TAAATTATTGGATTAAATTAGTTAATTTTAATTTATAATATCATATATAGTTTATATAAACATATTAATATGTATGTATTTTTTTTGTTAAGTTTAGGCCTGTAAACGAACCAAACGCACACGAACGGAGGTATGTTTATGTTCGTTCATTTAATAAATAAACGAACACGAACATAAACGAACAAAAATTTTTTTGTCATGTTCTTTCATTAAGGAATATAGCTTGTTCATATTCGTTCATGTTCGTTCATTTAAATGATAAACGAACACAAATGAACGAACATAATAAATGAACATAAACAAACACAATAAACAAACATAAACGAATAACAAAAACACAAAAAACAAATTTATTCGAACACAACAAATGAATGTAAAAAAAGTAAACAATAATAATAACAACTTAAAATTCATTAATATAACATGAAACTTTAGAGTTAATTTGTTCGAATACGACAAAAACATACATAAATCATAAATAAGTTATATAAACATAAATGAACGAACATAAACGAATATAAATGAACATAAATGAATGAACATAAACAAACATATAATCGAACGTTCACGAACGTAAATGAACGAACGAGCCCTTTGTTCGTGTTCGTTCATTTAATTAAACGAACGCAAAATCTTGTTAATGTTCGTTCATTTAATAAATAAACGAACTTTCCGCCGCACGGTTCATGAACGGTTCGTTGAACGTTCAGTTCATTTACAGTCCTAGTTAAGTTAAAGATGATTACAAAGTAATATATGTTCTAAGTACTCATTATCATTTGACAATGAACGCTTAATCACCATTGCAGTCGCTCGTGCTCGAACTTATAATCTCTAGAAACAACAATGATTCTTTTAACCATTAAGGTTAATTTTGATGATTTTAGGTTATTATAAAGTAGTATATGTTTAATTTAAAAAAATCTAAAAATGTAATAGATTATCTTTTCTGAGAAGCTCGCAAGTTTTTTGAATAGAGTATCAAGTAGTTCGCTTCAGCTCGTTAAGAATTCGAGTCGAGCTCGAGCTCGAGTTCGTTCGATTCGAGCGATAACCAAGCTTTCATCGCGTCAATTTCAAGTAACTCGCTATCTGTCTCGTCTCATTTACAACCCTAATTAGGATTAGGGGTGTGAGCAAGGACATATCTACGTTATAATTGGGAGGGGCAATCCCCCAAAAAAACAACTTTTATGATCTAATTATATTTTAGGTCATTGAAAATTTTGAAACTTTTATAATTAAGTCCTTGTCCTCCTAAAACTTTTTGGTACAATTGTTTTGGGATACTATTAGTTTTAAAATTAATGAAATTAAGCCTTGACTCCAAATATCTAAATTATTTTACTTTTTAAGACATTTAAATTTTAAAATTAATAAAATCAAACTCTTAATCTCTTATTTACGATTTAATTACTTTTTAAGAGGTCGTTTATTTTAAGTTAAATAATAATCCCCACATATTTTAATATTGACTTGGTTCCTAGATGGGACTGTCCAAAGTTTCTAACACAACGATGATTTTCGAGAAAGGGCTAATCATCATATTGATGTGGGCTAGGCATTTTTGGGTTCGGCCTCGGGCATATGACCCAGATTCTGAATATGCTCAAAATTGGCCCGTGAATTGTTGGTTAGGATTACGGCTGCGAAAATAATTAAAAATCGAATTACTCGATTTAATTTCAGATTAGTTTTATTTAATTTAATTTTGGGTTCTGTGATTGTTATTTAATTATGTTCAAATTTGGTTTGTGATTTATAAATAAAAAAATCACAATCATTCAAATTTGAATATAACTCCTTTTTACTGAATTATGATTAAATTTAAAATTTTAAGTTAACTTTTAAGTTTTTATCTTTGTTATATTTATTTTGATATAATTACATTTAAAATAAAAATATAATTATTTAATTAAATTATTGGATTAAATTAGATAATTTTAATTAATAATATCATATATAGTTTATATAAATATATTTGTATGTATGTATTTTTTTATTAAGTTAAAGGTAATTACAAAGTAGTATATGTTTTAAGTACTCTTTACTATTTAACAATGAACGCTTAATCACCTTTGCAGTCGCTGGTGCTTGAACCTATGATCTCTAGAAACAACAACGATTATTTTAACCATTATGATTAATTTTGATGATTTTAGATTATTTATTTATTTTAAAAATTTGTGTTTGGGTCGAATTTTTTAAAAACACATTGATTTAATTGATTAAACTTAATAAATTTGGTTTAACCATTCCCAACAACTAGAACAATTTGCAGAACGTAATACCAGACAGATTGTGTGGGATGTTGCAGCTTCCTCCTCATTCTCCTTCGACCAAACCAAACCTAACAAAGTTTGTCACTATCTTAACATCCAAGAGCACAAATTTTTATATTAAAATTTATGGTAAAGTGCACAAATTGTCTCTTGATTGTAGAATATTGTTCTATTGAGTCATTGATTATTAAAAGTTATAAAATTAATGATCATCTAACTATAGGAAGTTACTTTGTTGAGTCATTCGACTATTAAGAGTTACAAAATTTTCATTCAACTATTTATTATGTTCCAAACTCATCATTTTCTATTAAAAAAATTAATGGTTGTTTAAACTGAACGATAACATGTTAACTAAGAAATGATAAAATATGATCTCATGATCTCAATCGACTATCGTACATCAATCAACATATTAACGTCCAGCTCAAACTACTGTTAATTTTTTTTGACGAAAAATGGATGAGAATGAATAGTTGGTGACATTGGTAACTTTTAATAGTCGATGATTCAGAAAGCAATTCTCTATAGTCAGAGGACCTTTTGTAACTTATAATAATCACGAGACTTAATAAAGTAATATTCTATAATTGGAAGACAATTTGTACATTTTACCCTATAATATATTAATTTTAAGGGTAAAGTATAGTAATGATCACTGAACTTTTCTAAATCTTTCATTTAGGTCCCCCGACTTTTAAAACTTGTAATATAATCCCCCAATATTTAGTCCGTTTGCAATATGGTCCCTCAACATTTAGTCCGTATGCAATATGGTCCCTGACGTAACTGTTGGGGGACCATATTACAATTGGACTAAATGTTGGGGACTGTATTGCAAGTTTTAAATGTTGGGGACCTAAATGAAAACTTTAGAAAAGTCCAGTGACCATTACTATACTTTGCCCTAAATTATATGTATGTTCCATATAATATCCGAGTTTGTGTTTTATGAGCATGCCAACAAGAATTTGCTAGTCTAAAAACCAGAATTTAACACCATCTGAGTTTTTTACGAGTCAAATATCTATAGTTTTTTTATCATTTGAATATGAATCTATAAAGGGATAGGATCTTGTTATACAATGTAAAATTCTTTTAGTTTTACATAGATTTTCACTCATCAAACGATCATAAATATGTATAAAACTAAAGAGTTTTACATTGTGTAAGTAGATCCTAACCCATTTATAAATTTATTTTTATTTATAAATCATTTAAAACTTGCAATATAATCCCTCAACATTTAGTCCGTTTGCAATATGGTCCCTCCACATTTAGTCCGTTTACAATATGGTCCCTGACGTAACTGTTGGGGGACCATATTGCAAATGGACTAAATGTTGGGGGACTGTATTGTAAGTTTTAAAAGTTGGGGGACCTAAATGAAAGCTTTAGAAAAGTTCAGTGATCATTACTATACTTTACCCTAATTTTAATGTTGCATTACAAATTTTAGTAGGTAAAATTATAATTTTTTTAAAAAATAAAAATTATTTTTTAATAAAAATATTTAAATTATAGAAGAAAATTTAAAATTTCTATATAGATGTATATCTCTCAAACACCCATCAATCAATACTTGAGCATATCATCGTTTGCTTTCAAAATATCTAAAATATTTTCATTTTTGAATAATTTAGACATGATTTTTAATATGTATACATTTTTATAATTATATTAAAAAACATATTTTGCATCATTTTGTATTTTTTTAATTTGTAATTGAGATATTATATACATATCCATATATATTAATGTGCATGCATGCAATGATTTGCACCGACTTTGAGCAAAAAGATTAAACTATATTCATAGAAATCTCAAACTTCGACATATTTTAGTCATTTTAATTTAAATTAAAATTTATCTTTAAAATATAAAAAATAAGATAACAAAAAGAATATTAAAAATTTTAGAATTAAAGAAATCTTAATTTAATATAAAATAGACGGATGATTTATTTTGATATATTTTCAATTGAATGATTAATTCTAATATCTTAATTGGATTGTAACTTATAATTGTAAGAAATTGACCAGAAGGCGTGCACAATTTAGGTGCACTCGTTGCGTATGTATTCCTTAACAGAAAGACCGGCTTTCCACGCAGGTGAAGAGCTAGTTTTCATGTTGTCCAACTTCCTACTTCTCTTAAAAGTCATATTCTAACCTCTATATATATAAGGGTAAGTATACATTTTAGTCTATAAACTTAGTTACGAGGTTTAATTTAGTATTTCAACATCTTTAATTAGGTATTTAAACTTTACTTCAAATACAATTTGGTATATAAAGGCTTTTCTTTATGTTCAATTATGTACTTCAACTTTGCTTCCTAGTTCAAATGGATATTTGAACTGGATTTTTATCATAGATATAAACACACACTATTATTTCAATAGTTTAAATATGTCAAAGATCTCTATACTATTTAAAAATTTAAAATTTAGTACATATACTTTAATTTTATAAATTGAGTTCATGTATAGTTTTTTATTTGAAAATCTTGATCCATCTCTTAAAAACTATCCCATAGCACCCTTAGTTGTTGATCTGGTAACTATAAAATTTTATTGTTCAATTGATGGTATTTTTTTATTTATTTGTAAAGATTAAGAGTCAAATGATAATAATTATAAATGTAAGGGGTTTAAAACTATATAATCTTTTTTATAACTATCAGGTCAACAATTAACAGAGAGATCGAACTAAGATTTTTAAATAAAAATAGTATATAAATACAATTTCACATAAATAAAGTATAGAAACCAAATTTTATATTTTAAAATAATATAGGGTCCTATGACATATATAAACCTATTTCAATTATGGAGTAATATCTTCTAGATATATAAATATTGTACCATACCAAATCATGAGGAGCCACTTAAAAATCCGAAGAAAAGCAAACTGAACAAATTATTTACATTTTGTTCACAATCCTAAGCCAACTGAAGTTGTTTACTCCAATCATGGACCAATTATCTCCTTCCTCTTCCTCGACCACCGCGGCCACCACTCCTCTCCTCCTCCACCAACAGCAGCAATGGTGGCGTCGCCATTTCCAAATGAAAAACAGCCTCTCCTCCGAAATATCAGGAGCAGTAGGAGATTTGGGCACTTTCATCCCGATAGTCCTAACCCTCACCTTAGTTTCCCACTTTGACCTCTCCACAACTATCATCTTCACTGCCTTTTACAACATAATCACCGGCTTACTCTTCCAAATCCCCATGCCTGTCCAACCCATGAAATCCATTGCTGCCGTCGCCGTCTCCGAAACCCCACACCTTACCACTTCCCAAATCGCCACCGCAGGTGCATCTACTGCAGCCGTCCTCCTCCTCCTCGGGGTTGCCGGTCTGATGTCGACCCTATACCGTCTTCTTCCTCTCCCTGTTGTGCGTGGGGTCCAGCTCTCTCAAGGCCTGCCTTCTGGGCCATCAAGTATATCCGTTACAATCAAGACTTCGTAGCTTCTAAATCTACAACACCACCAGCTTGGTTAGGCCTTGATGGTCTTGTTTTGGCCCTTTCAAGTCTCCTCTTTCTGGTAATCTTCACAGGCTCCGGTGATCATAACGATAGAAATGAATCCGATGACGACGACCAGCCTCGTCGTAGAAACTCAAAGAGGTTGAGAATTATGGGTTCAATTCCAGCTGCTCTGATAGTGTTCTTACTTGGGTTGGTTTTATGTTTTATACGTGATCCTTCCATTTTGGCGATCTTAAGTTCGGTCCATCCAAAATCGGGTTTTTGAGTATCACTTGGAATGATTGGAAAGTTGGGTTTTTGAAAGGAGCAGTGCCACAAATTCCACTGTCTGTATTGAACTCGGTTATTGCGGTTTGTAAGTTGTCTGGTGATTTGTTTCCAGGCAGGACTGAACTGTCTGCTGCTAAGGTTTCTGCGAGTGTTGGGGCTATGAATTTGGTAGGATGTTGGTTTGGGGCAATGCCGGTGTGTCATGGTGCAGGTGGTCTAGCTGGTCAGTATCGGTTTGGAGCAAGGAGTGGATGGTCGGTGGTGTTTTTGGGGATTGGAAAGTTGGTAATTGGCTTGGTGTTTGGGAACACCTTTGTCAGGATTTTGAATCAGTTTCCTATAGGGATTCTTGGAGTCCTTTTACTATTTGCAGGCATTGAGTTGGCCATGGCGTCGAGGGATATGAACTCAAAGGAGGAGTCTTTTGTCATGCTGGTTTGTGCTGCTGTTTCATTGACTGGTTCTAGTGCTGCATTGGGGTTTGTGTGTGGGATTTTGCTGTTTTTGTTGCTGAAGCTAAGAAAAATGGAGTGTTCTGGTTCATGTTTTAGCAAATTCAAGTTTGAGTCTGCGGTTGATGCTGAAACCAGTTCAATTCCTTAAAGCTGCTTTATTTCGGCCGGATGTTCGATGATGAAGCAATGAGGGTATGTTACACTTTAAAATGCAATTATAAGATGTAGATAAAAAATCTTTTCTGATAAGAGCCAAGTAAATTCTGTTGCCAATTGGAGTTTAATGTATAATCTTCCTTGAAAAACTAGTCAAGTAAATTCTTTTCTGATAAGAGCCAAGTTTCTAAAACTTGTATCCATGGTGAAGTTTCTCATTTTGTTATAGAAATCATGGTTAGCATAGTTTTTTCTTCTTTTTCTTTAGAATTTCCATGCGGTAAGAATGTTCTTTTCGTAAGAGTATGTTGATAAAAATTCTTAAGTGACAACATCAAATTAACGTTTGAGCATACTAAGAGAATTAAAAGTCCAATTATGCTTCACAAAATCATATTTGCTAATGTTCTATAATTTCTTTTGTAAAAATTTGCTTCTTTCTCTGTTTTTGTTAAGCACCAGGAATGCTTGCTTGAATTACTAGATATTCTACGAGTCTACGACTGTAATTAGTGTTGCTATAGCTTCCAGATTGCTTGTGTTCTTCTCATCCTAATTTCACCCCTTGCATTTGCTTATTGCCTTAATCGTACCTATGGAATTACTTCTCATATCATCATTCATATTATTTAATAAAACTATAATTTGACATATTTTTGATAATTTCTCAGGAATAAAACAATTTAAAACTTCTGTTATATCTCATTTTTAATCAAATGTTCTTAATAATTTTCTTTCATTAAATTGAACAAATTGGTCCCTACTGGAAAAAAATGAGGAGAATAATTTAATCAATGTATATTTTGAAACCGAATAAATAACAATGATGTATGATGGTGTTTACTTAAACATTTTTCAATACAAACCAGAATCTAGAAGGTAATATGAAATAATTGGCCGATGAATGGTGCTCACAACTGTTCTTCCTGTGTCCACTGTGTTCCTAACGGCTCTCATTACAATTGCAGCAAATACAATATATATAACTCCAACCTTATACAAAATACAAGGAAAGTCCATGTAATTTTTTGAAGATTTTTTCTTTATCGGCCAATTGAAATAGTCATAGAACAGTGTCCCATAATTCAACCCAATATGATCACTGCCGTCGAATTCTGTAAGCTGATGCAAATGAGCCAAGAACCTGAGGTTAGAGGCCTAAAATATCGGTGTTTCCAGTACTGTTAGTACAAATCCTACTCGAAGAACCTGCAGTTGTTTTCCGGTCGCAGGTTTGTCCACCGAGGTTCGCGGCTCATATGCATCATCTTACTGAATTTGGTAGCAGTGTTGTCTTAGAACACTTGTCCAAATGTTTCCAACACAATGATGATTATATCAAGTTTTAAGAATGTAAAAAAGATTTAAAGTTGGTAATAAATGAAGTTGTAGTAAAAGAAATACCTGAAGGTGTTCCTCTGCTCTGTTTGTCTCCCATAATCTGTAAGCTTCATTCGTGCTCCTCTCAGCTCTGTTACCTTACCTGTCTTAAATTGCCGTTCTCACCGGCTATTGCTCAATTTGCCGCACTCACCGGCTCTCCCTCAAATTTGCCGTTCTCACCGGCTCATTGTCGTCATACGGTTTTTCTGTCTTTTACGGGACATTCCTCTTCATATTCCAACGTGAATTTTTGTTTATGTCATTTTCTTCTTCGTTTTGTTAATAAGGAGTCTTGGCGGCTGACGCCGATGCCCTGACTCGATGCATGCCACTCATACCATCTACCATTGATATAAATATATTATCTACTAAAATTTTATCAAAATAAATATTAAACTTATATTATATTACTGCTTTAAAATTATATTAAAATACTATTAAGAATAATTGGATTATTTGGACCTAATATCCCTGTGGAAAGTGTTCTATGTTTATAATCAATGCATCAAACTATATAATTGTTAAATTACTAATTAAACTTACATTTTGTTTAAAATAAGATTAAGATTTAAAAATTAAAATTATTTTAAAAGATATTAAATATTTATTTATCTTTAAAAATAATATTAAATTATTATAAAAAGTAAATTTATTAATTTAAAATAAAATATTTTTGTTTTAAATTACTAAAATGGTAAAAATTTAATTATTTAAAATAATATTTGCTTCGACATAAATAAAAACGTTAGAGTTGCCACCGATTATTTAAAAAAATATTTATGTTGATCGGATACCATCTTACCAGATGTGCGTTTTACTAGAAATATGTCAGAATTGAGAGTCGGTTATAGTCAAGGAAGGATTAACACCCTTGAACTGCCCTTTCTGTACTAATTTAATTTCCAGTTGTCTTAATTAAGAAAATTGAAAATTAAATAGAAAATAAAAGTTCGATCTAAATTATTTACCTCCGATTGATTTAGAAGAATACCCTTAAAAAGTCAAAAAGATGTTAGATTGCAAAAAAATAAAAATAAAAATAAAATATGGAATGAATCAGAAGGAAAAGCTAGTAAAAATTAAATTCTAATACTTTAAATGAAACAAAGGGAAAAAACATACATACATACCGGGAAATGAAACAAAAATAAAATTAAAAAAATAAGGGAAATTACTAAGAAAGTGAAAGAAATAATACAAAATAAAAATAAGTAAAAGAAATAAAAAAAACATGAATTAAATAAAAAAAATGACCATATTAAAAAAGAAATAAAATGAATGGCGAATTTGAAAGAAAAAGAAAAATTAAATTAAATTTAAAACATAATATAACATGAATTAAATAAAAATGACCAAATTAAAAAAACGAAATAAAATGAATGGTAGATTTAAAAGAAAAAAAAGAAACTAAAATTAAATTAAAAGCTCAAAAAAAGATTTAAAAATAATGTAGGGACCAGAGCTGCAATTAGACCCAATCCACGTGAAAGCACGCGAATCCCCTAGGGGATCCGGTTGGGTCATCGGGTCTGGGTATAAAACCCAAAAAATCAGAAACATACTTCATTTTTTATTCCCTTCAAAAACTGGATCAAAACCCTTTCTATTTTTTATCTCCCGTGTTCTTCGTGTTCTTCGTGAAACAAAGAACACTCAACCCCAAACCCAGTCTTCGACCGATCGTCGTTCATCAGCTGTGAAACCCAAAAAAAAATTCATTTTTCGAAAGCTTTCGATTTCCTCTCTTCAAAAATAACCTTTATTTTTACAAAATAGCTTTGGGGAAGGCTAGATCTGAAAGAGAACTTTCAAATGCCTTCCCCCATTTTCATCGACTTCCCTCTTTCATAAGGATTTTTCGAACCAAAAGAAAAGAGAAAAAAAAAACGAAGCAAAACCCCCCAGAAAAACCGAGGCTAACAACACATCAAGACCCGAATAAGGTAAAAAAAATACCTTTTCTTTTTATTACTTTTCGAGCTTTACAAATACTGGTTTTGCTTGGATCTAATTTTCCTTGGTTTTCACTTGTGTTTTTTCATTTAACTTTGCATGGATTTATAGGTTTAGGAATCCATTATTTTCGGTTCGATTTAGACTCCTAGTTTGACTAAAAATGCTAACGTGTTTTTCTGTTATGGCTTGACTTCATTGTGTCGGTTATCTCAAAGTGGTGGACTTGTTGTTGCTGACATGAGAGAGTCCTCCACCTGCCCGACGGTCTACCCTTGCATATTGGTCGCGCAGCGCTAGGGGGGAGCCTTAAGGTTAGGGTTTTGAAACCCTAACTGATTAGGGTTGAAGATTAGGCCAGTTCGAGTCAGGCTCTGGTTGTACTTGGATTCGAGTTTGCTATTGTTGGTGGGCTGCTGGGTTTGAGTGTTGGTCTTCGGGTTTAGGCCTGACATTGTTTGTAATTGTTGTTGGACCTGATACCAAATAAAACATATAATAAATATATAATATAAATATATGTTCAATACTATATAATATAAAAATAAATATAATACATATAACGGTATAATGTATGCACACTATACAATGTAGGTATATATTATAAATATGTAATATAATGTGTATATACCATATGACATAAATCACATAAATAACATAATATGCAATATAAATATATTATATAATATAAATAAGTTACATAAGCATAATATAATATAATATCATATAAACAAGGTCGGACGAAATTGTGTGTCTACAGTCATAGTAATAATAACAGTACAAGTTGTAAGTTCAATAAAATACTCTAAACAAAAGCCACGAGACGAGACTGATAATGCAGTAAATGAAATCCGGATTGCATAAAGTAGTGGATATTAGATGAAATAGAGATTGGAGCATTTGTTCAATGAGTGAGGAGGTTGTTATGCTTGATACATGATGTGATTTCTTTTCTGAGCATCTCAATCTCTGATATTAGGCGAGCAACCATTTCATCTTTGTTATTTCTCAGCATCTCATTCTCTGATCTAAGGCCAGCAAGTTCACCATGTATAAGGTGAGCAAGCTGTTGATCCTTGAATGCAAGCTCTGATTTAAGGCGAACAAGCTGTTCATCCTTCATCGCAAGCTTCAATCTAAAGTCAGCAAGTTGTTCATCCTTCTTTTGCTGTTTTTCTTTGAGACGCAGCCTGTATTTTTTATCTTTGCTTAGAGATCTTTGCAAGGGTTGACGATTTTGTGCTGCATCAGAACCAAATGCTTGTTGATATTCACGTTGTTAGTTAGACCCCAGAGATAGGGTATACGTATTGAGTTTTTGTAAGGAAAGATAGCAAAGAGAGTGAGCAACATTGATTTCACAGGGAGGACTATTTAACGACATACCTAAATTTTGGTGGGGGCTAACAAGGTCACTTGGCTGCGGGGGATAACCAATATTCCGTAGAGTTTGTGAACTTGTGGGTATATCCAGCAGCTGGTTCAAGGTGGAAGACCCTGAAAAATTAAAACAAAAACTTCAAAGCATAATCACAGCCATCACTTGAAGTCGTTAAATATTTGATGTTTGAATAGTAAGTAGCTGAACACCCTTGGTTTTGCACAAGGTGCTGCTCAGCACGGTGGGGAAGCCTTGGAGTGGGAGTAGATTGACATTGTTGTCAGAGCAAGCTAGGGAATAAAACAGGGCCATTTACTTAATGAAATGAGATGTGGGGGAGAAAACAAATTTGAAGAATGTTTGCGGCTTTTCTTTCAAAAAGGAAAACCATATTCATTGATTAGAGAAAGATTAGTGCAACCTAAAGAGTGGTTAATCATATTACCAAAATGTGGGTGGCTCGGAAGATCATTCGGCTGCATGGAACCATCAGAGTTCCCTTGGGTTTGTGAACCCAACATGAACATCTGGTTAAAGCCGTCAGTGCCTAAAAACACAAAGCAGTTCCAAAACATAAATTTTGCATAAGCAATCCAGGTTCTTATCCATAATGGTAGACATGTTTATGAGTCATTCTTTCATTTAGGAAGGGA